CTTATTTGATGATAAGTTGTCCATCTAATTTTTTTAGACATTTTAGTCACGGATAAAACTGAATGGTTTGCTAGACCATTTCAGAGGCAACCTAATTACTCTTGCTCTGGGGTCAAATCTCAGCCAGATCAGGTAAGGACAGCAGTTTTCCTTCCTTCAAAAACATTAGATGTGTTTTTTACAGCAGTTTATAATCCATCATTAGACTCTCAACCTCAGATATTTTATTGAATGCACATTCTACTATCTATCTGGTGAGATTTGAACCTGGATCCCCAGGACATGGCCTGGGTCTCTAGATTCCTAACTCAGACAATTTCACTAGGCCATCACTTGGCCACTTGTCTACCGTTCCTGCAAGCAAATCTATGTTCTGTTATAGTTGAGTGACACAATCTGCACTGTCTGCCAATTTTCCAAATTTGGCATCATCACAAATTTCAAAACGCATTTGTGTTTCAATATCTAGTTCATTCAACTGTTTACCAGTGTACCTGTGGCGGCTTTACCTTTACCTTTAGTTTGAGTAACAACCATTTAAGATGGCCCACTGTTTTCTGTACTTATACACATTAAAAAAGAAATACAAACTGGTGCAAAACGTCCTATTTCTTGAGTCTCAATTTTGTTAACTGTTCTGTACAAGGAACATTGTCAAGCACAATCTTAAAATCCATAAAAACTGCACCTACTACATTCTGTTCATTGACCTTCCCTATTCTATAACTTTAAGACAAAATAAAACAGTTTGCTTGTCAAGCACAGTCTGCCTTCTCCTCATCTCTATCCTAAAAGGATGAACCCTAACTTCAAACAGTGTCCCTTTGTTCAGGACTCACCCATAAAAGTATGCATACATTCCACAACCACTTTAACAAGATCATTCAGGATCTTATAAACTTCAGTCAAATCATCCATCATTTTTCTAAGCGCTTGTGAAAATAAGTCTAGCCTGTTCAATCTTTTCTCATAGGACAAAATGCTCTTTGCAGTTATCAAAAATAATGAACCTCCTCTGAACCACCTCTAACATGTTGATATTCTCCCGTTAAACATTGACCCTGATATTGCACACAGTATTTGAGATGAGACCTCACCAATGCTAGGTAATAAAAGTAAAGCTGTTATGCTTCGCTTATGTTCAATTCCCCTTGCAATAGAGGATAGCAATTCATAAGAATTTTTAATCACTTGTTACTATGTACTAACTTTTTATAATTCATACACTTGTACACCTAGATCCCTCCAGACCTAGGAATTCTGAAGTCGTTCTCTGTTTACATAATACTTGCTTCTTTTTCCTTCCAGCCAAAGTGATCAAATTCACACTTTCATACACTACATTTCATCTACTAGATTTTTGCCCACTCAACTGACCTATCCTTATCACTTTGCATCCTTGTTATGTCACTTTCACAACATACATTCCTTCCTATAATAAGAGCAAAAAACTTCGGATGCTGCAAATCTGAAACAAACACCAAGCATACTGGAGAAGGTCAGTTGGTCTCGCAGCATCCGAAGAAGTCATACTAGTCTTGAAGTGTCAACTCCGTTTCTCTCTCCACAGATGCTGTCCGACCGGCTGAGTTTCTCCAACATTCTCAGAGTTTGTTTTGTGCTTTCCTACCTTTCTTTGTATCATCTATAAATTTGGCCACCATGTCTTTAATCCCCTCATCTAAGTCATTCATATAAATTATAGAAAGACGACGCAGCACAGACCTGTATGGGACACCACTCGTCATATATCGCCAACCTGAAATTGGTTAAGCGTAATTTTCCTTAAAAAAAATATGCAGGCTCTTCCCCATTACTTTCAGGTTTTATAAGAGTTCAATTATAACCCCACTAATGCCTGATTCTTACAGCTTTCCCGTGACAGACATTAAGCTAACTAGCCAATAGTTTCTGACTCCCTCCCTCCTTTGTTAAATAGGAAGGTTATACTTGCTACTTTCCAATCTGACAGAATCTTTTCAGAATCTCAAAATTTTGGAAAATTAATACCATCACATCTACAACCTCATTAGCAACCTCCTTAACAAAAACCCAGAATGTGCACTAACGATTGACTTACTTTGTTACACACCCTATTTGAATTCAGGTAAAGAGCGATTAATGTTGGCTTTTGTTACCTTTGGAGCATCTAGTCTTGACTGCTGGACATCTGTATGCTTCTTTTTCTCTCTGTTCCTTCCTGCCATTTTCTGACTTTTATTTTCAACTTAAAGTTTATCCCTTGATGTGTTACATTTACCCAAGATTGTTTCCTCACCCCCACCACCCTCATATTTAGTTTGAAGCATTCTCTACTTACATAGTTTTTTTGGCTCACAAAAACACCAGACCCTGCATGGTTCAGGTATAGACTGTCCTAATGATATAGTCCCACGTTCCCCAATACTAGTGCCAGTGCTCCACAAAGTGGAACCATTTCTTCCGCACAATGTAGTTTCTTCTCTAATCTTATTCTTATTCTGTGCCATTTTGCATGTCCTGGGTAGTAATCCAGAGTTTATTACATTTGAGGTTCTGCTTTTCAATTTAGCACCAAACATCTCATACTCTGTCTGCAAAACTTCCTTCCTAGTCCTACCTATGTTGTTGGTTGTGCTTTCTACTGCAAGTTTTTCTGCAGCCCAGAACAGATATCCTGAACCCTGGCATCAGGCAAACAACTTTGTCATTTGGCCCAAGGTTTTTGCTACAAAGAACTGTGTAAATCCTCTGCACTACACTGTCCCCTAGTACAACTTATCAAAGTGTTGTTTCACAGACACTTGGCCCATTGATCCATTTCATAATGTACCCTTCCTAGCTGAACTGAGAACATACTAGTCAATACAGTGCAGAAATTTCATGCTCTTCTTTCCCTTCACTCTAAAATTATCTCAATCAATATTTGGGTAATTAAAGATCCCAATTTCACCACCCTTTTTTTTTGCACATGTCATTTCTTTGTAGAGATAGTAGGAACTGCCGATGCTGGAGAATCTGAGATAACAAGGTGTAGAGCTGGATGAACACAGCAGACCAGGCCAGACCCTTTTCTGAAGAAGGGTCCAGACCCAAAATGTCAGCTTTCCTGCTCCTCTGATGCTGCTTGACCTGCTGTGTTCATCCAGCTCTACACCTTGTTATCTCATTTCTTTGTAGGTTCGCTCCTCTGCCTCTCACTCAGTATTTGAAAACCTATACAATACATCCAGCATCACAATCGTATATATTTGCCGCCGATCTCTAACCCTAATACCCCTCATGGATATCAGGTTAGATTTAATGTTTCTAACATCTGTCATGCCCATCATCTGAAAAATTAGTGGAAACATGCATGTTTAGCTTCTGAGATGGGGAGGTTCATCCGATTAAGTGCCTGTTAGGATGGGTTGAGGGAAGGAATGGGGTATAAGGGTAGGAGGCGAGGGCAAGGGATGCTTTTCTGTGGTCTGATTTCAGCCTGTTTTTTCTTTCTAACAGTACAATGCATTCCTAAAGCATGCCAAAGCATCCCGAATTATACAGTGCACATACTATGACTGCACAATTCAAATTCAGGTCAGAGTCACAGTTCTGAGCAAAATATTACAATCTAATGCTAGGCTTTCAGTGAAACTTTAATGAAGATAGTAAAAGACAAATTAATTAAATGCATAAATGTACACATTATTTGTATTATATATTTTGTAAAATCTTTATTATTGACATTGTACCTACTAGTTTCAGGAAACAAGATGCAACCTAAGCGTATAATTTTTAAAAGATTATGACAACTTGGGCAAAATGTCACTATCAGAATGAAAAGCCTAAATTGGCAAAACTAAAAAAAAATCCAAATATAATGCATATTAGAAGGCATTGTCACAAAGTATGTAAAAAAGTCACAAGAAGTCTCATGATGCATGCTGAAAATATATTTGGAGTGAGATCACTGCTCTAATGCAGGGGCAACAGTAGCTACAAATGCTCAAGTAAGGGTTCCACAAGTAGTAATGAGATCACATTGTTGACTTCAGAAATTCTGACTTGCAGATATATATTGATTAAGACTCTGAACAAATTCCCTATCCCTTTGTTGCGTTATGTCATGTGATCTGAGGAGATGGGTGGGCCCTAAGATTCTTCAGCGTCAAACTGATCAATACTAACAATGCAAAGTGGGTTTGAGTGTTGCATTCTTGTGAAAATGAAAAGCTGATTACATCATAAAAACTGTTTGTAGATAACAAATTTTAACATACTAAGTAAAGTCACCATAGTCCCACTCTTTCATTACAGAGAAATAACTGATGGTGAATTTAACCAGAGTGTCACCATGATTCAGGCAAGGGGTGAGATCAAGAAGGTGAAACATTCATAGCAATCTCAGGAAATGTGGGAATTGAACTTACGCTTCACTCTGCCTTACAAACTAGCTGACCAGTCTACTGAGCAAAACAGCCTCCTAGAAAACTCAGAACCCAAATTCATGAGCAGTTTATGCTCACTGCCGTAAAGGCCATACAAGATCCTTATTGCAGCATGTCAAGCCCAGTGTGTTTAAATATCCTCTAAATGGAATTAGAAGCTTCAGAACTGCTGGGCTAGAAGCACAACCAGAACTATATCCTGCCAATGAGCACAACAGGTCTAAATTTAGTCTAGAAATTATAAAAATATTCACTTTAACTGTGCATTCTGGGTGATACGTACTCTTTCCCTATCAACCGAAAATTTCAAAACTAGGTTTCTCCCATGTTTTGTTTATTATGTGTTTTCAGAAATCATGTGACATAACAATTAACTCACCACTTGTAGTAAGGCAAGATAGCCAGCTCCAACATTGTCAAAGTTGATTTTCACGTTTTTCCACCGTGCGGTTTCATTAAGCTGCTCACAATCAGTTTTATTGTTAACAATCTTGATGGGGAATTGCGTTCCATCAGATATATTGATACAGTGGTAGTATCTTCCAGCAAAAAGATTTACACCCATTATACTGAAAATGAGCCAGAATATCAGGCAGACAAGCAGCACATTCATAATGGAAGGAATTGCTCCAAGAAGTGCATTGACGACCACCTAATCAAGAGAATTAAGGAAAGACTGTTAAACAGGTTATGCATGTTGGAATAAGAAAGGTTGCTTGCTAATATAAACAGGAAGCATTACTTTTGTTAAAAGCACATTCTGTAAATTGTAGATTATCTACATTAAAGGTTCAATGTATTATTAAACAAAAAACTGAAAAATTGTACACAAATAAGAATATAGAAACAATATATAGCAACTTCAGGAAAATATTTGACCAGATGACACAGCATGTATTGAAAAAAAAAGTAAAATAAAGCAAAAAACCTTGTGGTGGATCGATGATGTCACAGAATTGATTACTGCAAAAAGAATGCAAAATTATGAGTAAAGTACAGACATCAAAATCAAAACTATTGAAAAAATATCAGGAAATTAGAAAATAAAATCAAACAATGAGAGTTTAGCAGATGTGAGTTTACACTGGCCGGATGTGATATTAATGATTACCTTTTGGTACCCTCACAGGAAAATAACAAAGTGTGAAGCAACTGTCTGCATGAAACTATGCTGCCTAGAAACACATATCAAGCATTTGAATGTAAAATTCACTTGATTTATCTGTGTTCAGGAAATTTTGTGGGTCTTGTTTATCTGTGCACTCAATTTTCTAATTTATTTTTCTAGGATGATATCTGATCTGCGCTCCCAGCAGGTATAAACTTACAGCCAGGACATGAACATATGGAATTTCTTCAAATTTGTTTCACAAAATTCTTCAAATGTTTTTATATTCATAAAGCTGACAACTAGTAGAGATTTTTGTTGGTTAAAATATGCATTTAAAATTGCACCAAAAGCTAGAAATTGAACCTATGTTATTTTTATTGATAATTTTCAGAAATTTTCAACCAAAGAATACATTTATTCTGCGTGAAAAATAGCAACGTAATGTTCAAATACCATAAGCAAACATGTGATAACAACACATCTGTTGGATAATATGTACTTCATTGCTTTCATTTAAAAATATAGATTATTGTTTTCTTCTAAATAAAGGTTCACAATCTTTCTTTAGTTATTCTGCAGGCATCTGGAAATTCTCCAGTGAAAAAAAAATCACACAAGTGAAAAGCTGAATAGAAAGGTGTAAGTGAATTTTACATATCACAATACCTTATAGTATGCAGCCATGCGTTGAGATTTTGTAGCGAAGGATAGTATAGAAAATGTGAGATAACCACTTCTGTAAGGGTCTCTATTTCATTTACTTGTTTTGGATCTAAATGTATATCATACACATGCAAAGTTGAGCCATTGTTTATCTTACCCTCATGCCTTCAAAACGTGACAAGGCCCTAAGAGGTCTTAAAGCTCTTAGTGTCCGAAGGGACTTAATAGCACCTAGTTCTGAGTAGCCCAGGGCATTAGCTACAAGGCTCACCAAAGACACCTATACAAAAGAAAAAAAAAATAGATACAATTGAAATGGTTAATGTAGTTTTTAAAACCATCTGATATAGCATTTATCATATATTACTCCAGAAGAATTTAAACTGAAACATCTCAATCAGCTGCATGGGCAATCCTCATTCTTGGAACAACAACCTGTACTCAGTTACCTGGACAACTGAAAGAATGGGCACAATAGTAGAGCAATTAAAATCAGATTTGCTCAAAAGACCAGAACAACCTATGGCTATGTGTACAGACATGTATGGTGACAATAGGATGTGCAAAGCAAGTTTGTTTTTTAAGAAAAAGAAAGTCATTTATTCATAGATAGCAAGGTGTAGAGCTGGATGAACACAGCAGGCTAGGCAACATCAGAGGAGCAGGAAAGCTGACGTTTCGGGTCTGGACTCTTCTTCAGAAATGGGGGAGGGGAAGGGGACTCTGGAATAAATAGAGAGAGGGGGGGAGGCGATGATGGAAGGTGGATAAAGGAGCAGATAGGTGGAGAGAAGACAGACAGGTCAAGGAGGCGGGGATGGAGCCTGTAAAGGTGAGTGTACGTAGGGAGTTGGGATTGGGGTTGGTTTATTTATTCATAATTTTTCACCTCTTAAAAAAGCCATTTTATTACAGGGCAATAGAAGTGTCAGCCAACAAAAATCCATCAATACCACAAACTGCAAGTGCTTGAAATCTCTCTGCCTTGTGTAAAAATACAGCTTGCAATTGGCAACAGGGATTAGAGAACCAGCATTGACAATGCAGCAATGTTTTAAAGGGCTTGGGTGTTTCAAAACATGAATGGATGTTTGGACTTTCAACCAAAAATGCAAAATATGACCTGGAACCAAAAGAAAGCAAAAGAAAATACTGATTATATCACACACACTTAAAATACAAAAATGTAAATACAAAATTTATTTTGTAGACGACATTTCACTTATCAAAGTTAATGATATCAGTAAATAGTGAATTTTGGGATCAATGTCAACATCAAACATTCTGAACCTACTGGAACATGGAGAGGAACATCCAACCACACTATCACACAACAATTGTATTCTATTTCAAAAAATCTACTGAATCTAAGAACAGCAGTCATGACCATTTCCCTGAAAAATTTTCATTTAATGCAGTGATCCTGAGTAATATGGTAATAGGCATCATGTACCAAATTTCTGGGTTTGTTACCTCAACATGGAATACCAACAAAAAAAGTACAAAACTCAGAATACATACGTCAACAATGAGGAAGTCCAGCCAACACCAAGCATTCGTGAAATACTTCACAAAACCATAGGCCACCCACTTCAGCAACATTTCCAGAATAAAGATGTAGGTGAAGATTTTATCAGCATATTCCAGCATTGACTTGATGTTATGCTTTTGTTCAATGTAAATATCTTCAAATGCCTAAAAGTGAGACAATAATTAAAAATATTTGTACTTTACAAAAGGATAATTTGAGTTTGTTCATTAGATTTTCCATCTCTTTTTATTTCTGCTTCCGACTAACACACAAGCTTTCTCAGTCTTACAGGCTGAGTTATTCCAGACCACAGTGCTCTACACAGTTGCTGCTGTTTTACATTGTTGTTGATCAGTGGGTTGACCTTAAGACATAGGAGCAGAAGTCAGCCATTCAGCCCATCAAGTTTGTTCTGCTGTTCAACAAGGTGATGGCTGATGTGATAATCAACAACTCAATTTTCCTATCTCACCCATAATCCCTGATTTCCTCTCTGTTCAGGGATCTCAGTCTTGAGAAGATATATAGCCCTGACACAGCCTCAACAGCCATCTGCAATAAAAATTTCCATAGATTCGCTACCCCCTGAAGGAAGAAATTCCTCCTCATCTTTCTATTAAATGTACACCCCTTCATTCTGACATTATGCCCTCTGGTCCTAGACTCTCCCAGAAAGGGCAAGATCCTTTCCACATCTACCCTGCAAAGTCTCCCTGTATGTTTCAATAAGGTTGCCTTTCATTCTTCTAAATTCTAGAGAGTACAGGCCCAAATTACTCAACCACTCCTCCATACCTGGTATCAGCCCAGTTAACCTTCACTGGATTGCCTCCAATGCCAGTTTATCTTTTCTTAGGTAAAGGGCCCAAAACTGCTCACAGTATTCTAGCTGTGGCCTGATTGGTGCCTTGTACAATTAAGCAAAACTTCCCTACTTTTATACTCCATTCCTTTGAAATAAAAGCCAACTCTCCATTTGCCTTTCCTATTACCTAACTAACTTGGATACTAGTTATTCGTAAGTTATAGATGAAGACACCCAAATAACTCTGTTCTCCACTTCTCTAGTCTTTCTCCATTTAGTTTTAATTTTTATTCACATGTGGGACGTGTATGTTGTTGGCTGGCCAGCATTTATTGCCGACCCTAGGTGCCCTTGAGAAAGTGGTGGTGAGATGCCTTCTTGAACCACTGCAGTCCATGTGCTGTAGGTAGACCCACAATGCCCTTAGGGGTGGAATTCCAGGATCTTGACCCAGTGACATTGAAGGAATGGTGATATATTTCCATGTCAGGGTGGTGAGTGGTTTGGAGAGGAGCTTGCAGACGACGGTGACATTCCGATGTATCTGCCGCCCCTGTCCTTCTACATGGAAGTGATCATGGGTTTGGAGGTTCTGTCTAAGGATCTTTGGTAAATTTTTGCAGTGCATCTTGTAGACAGTACACACTGCTGCTACTGAGCATGGGTAGTGGAGGGAGTAAATGCTTGTGGATGTGGTGCCAATCACGTGGGCTGCTTTGTCCTGGATGGTGTCAAGCTTCTTGAGTGTTGCTGGAGCTGCACTCATCCAGGCAAGTGGGGGAGTATTCGATTACATTCCCGACTTGTCCCTTGTGGATGATGGACAACTTTGTTGAGACAGGAGGTGAGTTACTCGCCACAGTATTGCTAGCCTCTGACCTGCTCTTATAGCCACTATATTAAATGGCGAGTCCAGCTGAGATTCTGGTCAATGATAACCCCCAGGATATTGACAGTGGCAGGTTGAGTTTTAGTAACACAATTGAATGTCAAGGGGCAGTGGTTAGATTGTCTCTTATTACTTCCAAGATGATGGTGGATTAGGACTCCTGAGCTGGAGCTGGTCTGTTTCTTTTCTTTCTGTCTCTCTGTTCACGTTTTCCTTTCTTTTTATTTCCTATCCTCAGGCAGTGGTGATGTCTGGGATGAAAGCCAGTGCAGATTCCCAGCACTCCCGGCCTCAGGTTGAAGCCCAGAGACATCCGGGTTGGAAGGACTGTCAATGCTGGACTCTTATTTCTTTGCTTTTTCTAATTTATTGCCGGACTTCTTATTTCTTTATTTTTCAATTTTTTCCATAGGAATTTGTACTTAAGATTCTGTGCCTAGGTACCGAAGATGGCATCATAAGCGGTGGCTTGTAAACTTTTCTCTGCACTCTTGTGAGTACATGCAACAATAAAGTTAATTCTAATTCTATTGGAGACAGTCATTGCCTGGTATTTGTGTGGTATGAATGTTACTTGCCACTTTCAGCCCAAGCCTGGATATTGTCCAGATCTTGTTACATTTAAATATGTACTGTTTCGGTATAGGAGGAGTTGTGAATGGTGCTGAACATTGTGCAATCGTTGGCGAACATCCCCACTTTTGGCCTTACAATGGAGGGAAGAACATTGATGAAGCAGCTGAAGATGGTTGGGCCTAAGACACTATCCTGATAAGCTCCTGCAGAGATGTCCTGGAGCTGAGATGACTGACCTCCAACAACCACAACCATCTTCCTATTTGCCAGGTATGACTCCAACCTGCAGAGAGTTTGCCCCCTGATACCCATTGATTCCAGTTTTTCCAGGTCTCCTTGATGCCACACTCAGTCGAATGCTGCCGTGACATTAAAGGCCTATCACTCTCACTTCACCTCTGGAATTCAGCACATTTTCCATGCTTGAATGAATGCTGTAATGAGGTCAGGAGTTGAGTGGCCCTGGCAGAATCCAAACTGGGTGTCAGACAGCAGGTTATTGCTGAGCAGATGTGGCTTGATAGCATTGTTGATGACACTTTTCATCTAATGACTAAGCGTAGACTGATGGGGTAGTAATTGGCTGGGTTGGATTTGTCCTGATTTGTGTGTAACTATACTGGAACAGCTTGGCTAGGGGAGCAACAAGTTCTGCAGCACAAGTCTTCGATACTAATACCGGAATGTCGTCAGGCCATTTGGAGCAACCAGTGCCTTCCAACTGTTTATTGATATGACATGGAATATATCAATTTAGCTGAAGACTGATATCTGTGATGCTGGGGACCATTGGAGGAGGCCGAGATGGATCGTCCACTCAGCACATCTGGCTGAAGACTGCTGTGAATACTTCAGCACTACCTTTTGCACTAATGTCACCAGTTATGAAGAAGGGTCACCGGACTCGAAATGTTAACTCCGTTTGTTCCTGCACAGATGCTGCCAGACCTGCTGAGCTTTTCTAGCAACTTTGTTTTCATTCTTGATTTACAGCATCCAAAGCTCTTTCGGTTTTTATTTTGCACTAATGTGTTGGTCATAAGGAGGCATGGAACTCAAGAGAAATTTTGCTGTCTGGATACAAAACTGGCTGTCCAATAGAAGACACTACTAGGTGGTAGAAGATGAAAAGTATTCAGCCTGGAGCTCGGTGACCAGTGATGTTCCGCAGGGATCTGTTCTGGGACTTCTGCTTTTTGTGATCTTTATAACTGACTTGGATGAGGAAGTGGAAGGGTGGGTTAGTAAGTTTTCAGATGACATGAAGGTTGGTGGAGTTGTGGGCAGCGTGGAGGGCTGTTGTAGGTTGCAGCGGGACTTGACAGGATGCAGAGTTGAGCAAAAAAGTGTCAGATGGAATTCAACCCAGAAAAGTGTGAAGTGATTCATTTTGGAAGGTCAAATTTGAATGCAGAATACAGGGTTAATGGTAGGATCCTTGGCAATGTGGAGGAACAGAGGGATCTTGGGGTCCGCATCCATAGATCACTCAAAGTTGTTACCCAAGTTGGTACGGTTATAAAGAAGACGTATGGTGTGTTGGCTTTCATTGGCAGGGGAATTGAGTTTAAGAGTTGCGAGGTTATGCTGTAGCTCTATAAAACCCTGGTTAGACTACACATGGAATATTGTGTTCAGTTCTGATCACCTCATTATAGGAAGGATGCGGGAGCTTTAGAGAGGGTGCAGAGGAGATTTACCAAGATGCTGCCTGGGCTGGAACGCAGGTCTTATGAGGAAAGGTTGAGGGAGCTAAGGCTTTTTTCATTGGAGCGAAGAAGAATGAGAGGTAACTTGATAGAGGTGTACAAGATGATGAGAGGCATAGATAAAGTGGATAGCCAGAGACTTGCACTTGGCAAGACTGGTGCTGCACTTGGTGTAGAGGTTGGTGTAATGGCAGATGTTAAGCTAAGCAGCTCACTATTATTTATTTTTTGTCTGCTTCTCTTTTTGACGTTGGTGCTCTACAAACATTAGCTGATTTTGAAATTACTTCTACTGTGCAGCAAATGGCCTTGTGGTTTCTGACTTATCCGTTTTAATTTAAATCAGATTTGATAGAGTGAATGACTTGCTTTATCTAACTTTCAAGGTGAGAATTCTTTAATTGCAATTTCTTAGTGAAGAAACGCTGGAAATGGATCTGCCTTTCCTCTTGAGATGTCCCCTGACCCAATATTTATTAATCAATTGTCTCTTAATGGTCCTCTTTGTTTTCCATTGTGCCATCATCCCTTTGGTCATTTAATCACTCTGCACTTAAGTTTCTTTATAGACATGTTTGATATTTCTCCCCTTTCTCACCTTTCCGCTCGGACAGCAATTGCTTAAAAACTTTAATAAATCTCTAACTTCTTCCCATTTGGAATGCAAAATCTGGACCAAATAGGCTTGTCAGCCATGAGACCAGAGGCAACTTTCTAACTGGTCAACTGCAATTTGTCGGCTATGCTACAGAATTTCCTAAAATTGGGGCCTTCACTGCAATTAGCCTCCACCTCTATGGTACAGGCAGCTGATTTTCTTCACCCTTCACCTTTACAAAACATCCCCAATGATGGAAGTGGATCAGGCGTCTCCCCTCATCCTCCCTCCTATTTTTCTTGCCGCTCATTTTCCAACACTAAGCTTGCTACCAGAGGACCAGGTAAATCCTGTCCACTAAATGTTTCTCTCTCTATAGATTCAGCCAGCATGCTGAATGTATCCAGCACGTTCTGCCTTTATTTCCAACTCCCACAATCTGTCATGTTTTGTTTTAGCTGAGGAAATACGCATAGTTATGAATATTGCGCACAGACGAAATCATAAGTTACTTTGTTTTTCAATTCTTAATTTCATTGACTGTTTCTGTCAGAAAGGAGCAACATAACAGATAATTGTTTTTTTCTAACATTCACACAACTTTCATCACAATCATAAACACAAGTTGCTACAATCATAACTGCATACTAGCTCTGCAAAAAGAATTTAAATTCTCTGATATAACATCCTACTTACCAGGGCACCGCTGCTGAGCAGAATCATGAAAATAATGAATGTCTCAAACCAATTGTGTTCAACTATTCTGTAGCAGGTCTTCCGGAGATTCCACCACAATTTGCCCCTGCCTTCTTCTATGTTGACATAGCAGTATGGGAATTTTTGTATACATCCTGAAAATAAGATAAAAATTAAAATCCATGTCAGGTCTATTAAACTAACCAACTATATTTTCTGCAAAAAAGGAAGACATTTCATGAGCACCTTTATTTAGACCAAATGCATGGTTTTGTGCTTATGGCCACTCATCACTTTATTCCCCCATCCTATACTCAGCACTCTATGCATGCCCAGTGAAGCTCAATTTTCAATTAGGATCTTTCTTAACTTTCAATCTGAATACGAAGTTCAACATCTTCAGACATACTCATTCTTCAAGTTTTCTTAGCGAGAAGGAGCAGGTAATAGCTCTGCAAATCTCATCAATGCCTTTTCTGGAACCCATTTTATATTTATTGTTCGATTGCAACCCACATTTTTCTTGCATCATCAACCCTTTGTTATTTAAGCATTCCCACCCTCAACCGCATTACAGACCTACGCTTTTTCCCTGGGTCTGTACTTTCTCTTAAAGTGTTAAATCTATAATTTCTTCAAGTTCTAAACAGAAGGTAATTGATCTGAAACATGAACTTAGATGACATTTCCATAGATGCTGCCAGGTCTGTTGGGTATTTTTAGCATTTTATGTTCTTATTCAAGCTTCCACCAACTGCAATACATTGTTACAGTTGAAGAAATATTGGTTGTCTGTACATTGTGCACAGCTACAAATTACATATTCCCTCATTTTCTAATTCTTAACTTTAGTGGCAATTTCTCTCTCATAAAAAGAGAAACAAAATATAGCTTTAACTTTTAACATGCACAATACATACTGTTCTTTGAAAAACTTGTAAGGACACAGATCAGATCTGGAGGCCAGGCAGCATCAGAGAAGTAGGAAAGTTGACGCTTCGGGTCGGGACCCTTCTCTAGAAATGGCTGGCTTCACAGTGGGGTTATAACTGACTCAGAGATAGCAAGAACTGCCGATGCTGGAGTCAAAGATAACACAGTGGGGAGCTGGAGGAACACAGCAGGCCAGGCAGCATCAGAGTAGTAGGAAAGTTGACGTTTCGGGTCGGGACCCTTCTTCAGAAATTTCTGAAGCTATTTCTGAAGAAGGGTTCTGACCCAAAACGTCAACTTTCCTACTCCTCTGATGTTGCTTGGCCTGCTGTGTTCCTCCAGCTCCATACTGTGTTATCTCTGACTCTAACATCGACTGTTCTTACTATCTCACAGATCAGATCTGTCCTCTTTCACTACTACATGAATAAGAAATATAAATTAAAGGTTAAAAGACCTATATATCTGTATAGATGTTTACTTTTTACTTTAAATACTTTTCTATGTCTTCAAACAACATTAAAAAAGTCTTCAGCAATCAATCTTGAAAGTGCCGATTATTCCAAAAACCTATTTTTAAATGAATCATATTTAATTCAATGTTGCAACCAATTTTAAATGGAAATGAACAACATATAGTCAACTACAAAATTAATGCAATAAATACACATTAGCAATTTTTGTGCTGACTTATGCTTTGATTTTCATATTGCTTGCATGTATGTTGATGTATTAGTATGATTAATCACCCTTTTTCCTGCTACACAAGATATGCAACTACACATGTCTCATTTGATAAGCTGTAACCAGATCATTGCAAATATCTTACAAGTATGCTTAGCATATCTGAGATAGATTCTTTTCATCTGTCTCCCATTTTTGGATTGCACAAATAAAACATTCAGTTTATCAATTATTCTGGAGCAATTGATAACTGTTGACATTCATATTAGTAAAGCAAACAGGGCTTGAAATGTCCTTTAAGGATTGTAGCACAGAAATCTGAAATTCTTCTCTGGTATTTCTGAGGACACATTGACCCATTTCAAGTAAATATTTTTGTTAAAACAATGAAGACACAAATTTTAGCTGGTTATATGAAGTGTTTCTATGCTGATATCTGAAAACACAATTTCAGGTTTTGCATGACTTGAAAAGAGAATGTGACAAACCAGCCTGAAGTGGGTTGGCATGGTCAAATATAAAAGGCAACGAAGAAAAACACAAGGATTTTAGCAGCAGATGAGCTGAGACAGGGACAAAACAGAAACTGCTGGAGAAACTCAGCAGGTCTGGTGGCATCTGTGGAGAGAGAAACCAAAGTTGAGGTTTCAAGTCCAATACGTGTCTTCTTCAGAACTGAAAGAGGTTGGAAAATTGTGTCTTTTATGCTGTAGACAAAGCCCCCTCTGTTGTATTTTGTTTTTAAGTACTTGGTGGGCTTCAATGAGATCACATCTCATTCTTCAAAACTTTATAAGGAATACAGTGCCAACTGCTCCAGTCTCATTTCACAGGACACTCCCGCATCCCAGGATCAAATCTGGTGAATGTTTGTTATACTCTCTCGATGGTAAAAATGTCCATTCTGGAGTAGGGAGACTAAAACTGTACACAGCATTGCAAGTGCAATCTAACCAAACTTATATACAATAGAAGCAAGACTTTACCTCTCCTATACTCAAATCCTCTGACAATAAATGTTAACATTCATTAGTCGTCCAAATAGCTTACTACATCTGTATGATTGCTTTCAGTGACTTACTGACAAAGATACCTCAGTCCCTTTGTATTTTCCAAACATTTACCATCTTAGAAATACTCTTGCACGTCTGTCCTTCCTATCAAGGTAGTAACCCTCATATCTTTTCCACATAATATTCTATTTACCACGTTCTTACCCATTCACTGAGCCTGCCCAAATCTACATGAATCTGCTTTACCTCTTTCTCACAACACATTCCTGCTTAGCTTTGTATCCTCTGCAAATTTTGAAACATTTCATTTGGTTCCCATGTCCAGAGATATTTTTTGAATCAACCTGTTCAGAGATGTTATTACACACCTCTGGAGAAGTTGGAACTTGATCCTGGGCCCCCTAACTCAGAAATAAGGGCACTGCCACAGTACCACAAGGACCTTTATTCCATATCAAAGCTTTTCATTTGATATAAACCTGTTCAGATATGTTTTGATACACCTCTGCAGCAGACTGAACTTGAACATAGGCCTTCTGGCTCAGAGGTAGGGACATTACCACTATGCCACAACAGCCCTAATTTCACATCCAAATCATTACAATATATATTGTGAACGACAGGGGTCTAAGTACTGATCTTTGCACTACTTTACTAGTCACAGACTGCCAATGTAAGAATGACCCGCTGATTTCTCTTTGTTTTCTGCCTGTTAGCCAATCATTAATCCATGCCAGCACATTATCTTCTATCCCATGTGCTTTAATTTTGATAACCAACCTTCTATGTGGTACCTTATCAAAAGCCTGAAAATTAAATACATGTCCTCCAACTCCTCTCTATCAATTCTGTAACATCCTCAAACAGTTCCAACAAGTTTGTCAAATGTGATTTCCTATTTGCAAATCCATGCTGACTGTGGCCAATTAGATCATTATTATCCAAGCATCAATTATTCACAACGTTTACAATAGATGCTAACATTTTCTTTACAACTGATGTAAAGCTAATAAGTTCAGAGTAAAAAAAAGGCAGAAGTCACACGACACCAGGTTATAGTCCGACAGGTTTATTTGAAATCACAAACCTTCGGAGAAGCTTGCGATTTCAAATAAACCTGTTGGACTATAACCTGACGTTGTGAGACTTCTGACTTTGTCCACCCCAGGCTATACAGACACCTCCGAGTACCCTGTTCTCTCTCAAGCACCCTTCTTAAATTGTGACATTTTCTTGCTTCCAATTCTGTTCCATTCCCAGTCACTGGTGGAGTTAAACAGGATTGCATGCTCATGCCAACTTTCTTCGACATGTTTCGTTTTGCTCCGCCTAAGCTCTCCAATGCTGTCATGATGGTGATCCTGACATCAGAATTAGATAGCATATGAATGGAAAGCTGCTCAATCTGACACACTTCCAGGCAAGGTCTCCAAAGGTCTTCATTTGTTATTTTCCCATGATTGTGCACTAGACGTTGATTCAGAGATGAACACGCAATGTAGCATGGATTTGCTTCCAATGCAAATGACACTTCAGTCTTTTGTTCAGTATGAGGACAACTGAAGCACCATTCCAGTCTGTACCATGGAAGCCCTATCTTGAGCTTGTCAATAGTGGATAGATTTGCATGGGAAACTCTATAGTGCGAGGGTGAACTGTGAGGAGCATTCAGAGATACTCCAGTGTGATTTGGATAAACTGGGTGAGTGGATAAATGAATAGCAAACATAGTATAATGAGGATAAATGTGATGTTATTCATTTTGACAGCAAAAACAGCAAAGTAGATTATTATCTAAACAGCTACAAATTGAGAGGAGGAATATGCAAAGAGACTTGGGTGTCCTTGTACATCAGTTGCTGAAGATAAGCACACAGGTAGCAAAGAAGGCAAGTGGTATGTTGGCCTTCACAGTGACAGGATTCAAGTACAGGAGCAGAAATGTCTTGCTGCAATTGTACAGGGCCTTGGTAAATCACACTTGGAATGTTGTGTGCAGTTTTGGTCTCTTTATCTGAGGAAGGATGTCCTTTCTATAGAGGAAGTACAGCAAAGATTTACTGGACTGATTTTTTGGCTGGGGGGACTGGCAGATGAGGAGAGCTTCAATCAGATATGACTGTTTCCATTGGAGTTTAGATAAATAAGGGGAGGGTCTCATTGAAACCTATAAAATTCTAACAGGACTAAACAGGGTACTTGCAGGAAGGATGTTCCAGATGGTGTGGGAGTCCAGAACCAGGGGTCACAGTCTAAGGGTACAACAAAACCATTTAATACTGAAATGAAGAGAAATTTCTTCACCAGACAATAGTGAATCTGTAGAATTTGCCACCTCAGAAAGCAGTCAAGGCCAAAACATTGTATGTTTCAAGAAGGAGCTGGATATAGCAGTTGGGGCTAAGGAGATAAAAGGATATGGGGAAAAAGCAGGAATAGGATATCGAGCTGGATGATCAGCCATGATCATAATGAATGGCAGAGTAGGCTTAAAGGGCTGAATGGCCTACTCCTGATCCTGTCTT